ATGCAGACTATCTCTGCTTGTGTTAAGATGCGTTAGGAGCTTTGAAACATGTTTTTCCTAAATATCTTTTTGTTCTGGACAGGAGAACATTCTCCTTTTTACTACCTTCACAGCCGAGGAATCGAGACCTGCATAGCACATTTATCTTATGCTTGCAATTCAAAGCAAATAGCTGCTGCAAAACCTTTTAGCATGGCAGTTATATTTCACTTTAGTGGCAGTGAAAAGGTGTTGTGTGTGTGTGAAAGCTTTATTGGGATCCCTCATTTCCTCCCTTTCTATCTGTTCAAGTATGAAAACTTCATGAGATGATTTCTTCTGTGCACTGAAGGTTTTTGCCTGTAGGTGCCATAACTGCACTTATTTCTGTTTGGTTGTACAAAATAAAAATAATCTGACTGCACAGACAGGTCAGATGTCCTTCTTCACCATCAGAGGTCCTGTCTTACCACATAAGTCTGGTAAAACCTTTCCTGCCTCTGTTTGTAGCTGCTGGTTAGTTCAGTGGTGATGACCGTATCAGATGGGATTCCTAATGAATTATCAGATTACCACCAAAAAGACCCATCCTGTTCACTGCCAGGCTTGCCTCAAACTCTATTCTTCAGCATAGCCACCCCTATAACTACATCAGCTGTGTGGTCCTGCCCCTTTGTCCTCCAGCTTGTTTCTCTATATAACTGCTGTTTTCTGATTTTGCTCATCACTCCTTCAAATGGGGTGGACAGGGCAGGGCAAGGAGGGAAGGGTGCTTTCCACTCACACCGGGGAAAGAGGTTCCTGGGCACAAGGCAGGGTGGGCACAGTCACAGCCAGGCATTGGTGGTGCTGGGAAGAAAACATCCCTCTGGGCCCATGGGTCTGAACCTGTCCAGCCAATGAGAGACTGAGAAGAAGAAGAGACAGAGACTTAGGAGAAAGGCCCTACCTCCCTCACATATCCTCATGAGAGCCTCCTTCACATGGCTCTCCTCACTGCAGCCACGCTTCTTCTCCCTTTGCTCATTACTGCATGATAGCACTGAATCCACCAGAAGAAAACTGAGTGAGAATACAAAGTTGGCTGCAAGGAAATGCACTGCCATAGGCTCCCCAAATAAAACCTCCCAAATCCCAACATAGCTGCACACACACACAAAGTGCAGGGAAATAGGGTGAGGTCAATTCCTGGCTACTGTAAGTTCAGGAATTTGTCTGTAGTAGAGCTGAACTCTTAAACCAGCTGGTGATCCAGCCCTTGGGATCACAGAACAGAGCACAGCAGACGCAAACAGCTGTAAGAGTAGTACTACACTGCAGATAATATGCTACCTGCCATGTAGATGAAACAAGGGAGAAGAAGAAAGTTGAGCTTCAATCTAATTGTACAGCAGCCAGGATTTGTCAGGTTCATCTGTAAGCATATTGGGGCTGGATCACCAGCTCTACTGATTGACAGTATTCACTGAAGATAAAAGCATTGTATTAGTCTACAGCAAGTGAATACATGGTTCTGCTGAGTACTGGTTGACATGTTACTTGTGCTGACATTGTATTAATGCTGTGGTGGATGCCTCAGCACCTCCATTTGTACAGTCACTGTACCAGCAACATGTGGACATGCAACACAAGAGCAGTCGGCACAGCAGTGCACTATGTGTCTCTGCACAGACACGTATACTGCTTTAGCGCTGAATTTTTATTTCTGGCAAATCACTTAATTCCTCTCCAATACTCACAATTGACTATTAAAATGTATTTGTACAGAAGACCACATCGTATTGAAAGATGACATGGACAACTAAGAAAAGGAAAAAGCCTCTGTCACTCTAATTTAACAAATAACATCTTGCACCTCTACTAACAAGCTAGCTTTTACTTCCAGTACTAGCAAGAAAAATGAGTTATCTGCTTCAGTAGTGAAGTGTATTTTTTCACCTGCTTCATCTATAGAATCATCTTGCTGACTTTTTCTTGGCCTATAAAGGCCAAGTACAAATGATGCAGTGGATTGTAGTAGAGGCACTTTTTCATGTCAGTCAGATTAGAGTTAAATCCCCGTTGCATTTGGGAAGGACTTCAACAGACAATGTATACCTTAGAGAAAAGGCAATGTGATTTCCAGCAGCCAGTTTTTATGTAGTGATCCGAGTTTCTTGCCGTACCTGTTTCCCTAATACTGGGCAGTAAGATTGAAAGAAACACCTGGAGAGAGAAAGCCACAGACTAATATGTGCATCTTTGATTCACATACTCCAATTGTTATGATGGGGAGAGAGTTGATGCCTTCCTCTCCCCCCACTCCTTTCAGTTAGAAGAAAGATAATAGGACAAACACTATTATTTTTAAGAGAAGATGTCAAGATGAAAAAATGAAAATGTCAAAAAAGAGGCTGATATACAGCATTACTTAAGGACTGTTTTGTTGAGAAAAACTGACCAAATGATTTACGAAAGGCTTTTAACAGGGCAGTCTTTGGATTACAGTGAAGATGAAAAATAAATGAAAATCTATTTCAAGTTTACTTTAACCTAGTCATTTGACAGATGGGGGGCAAACCTGGCAAGAACACAAGTTTTAATCTTCAGGTGTCGTGACTTTATTTGCAGTTTTGTGGATTAGGAATTCTATTTGTGCAGAATAAGAGCTGTCCATTTTCAGATGTTTCCTATTGAAGTGACTTTTTCTACCTGAAGATCCCTGAGAGGCACACGAGTTGGAAGACCAAAGGACCGATGCTTCTGCTCACGGCACAAACCACCACACACAGAGATTGTCCTGTGAGCGGCAGCCGGTGTGTCCGCTGCCTTCCTACCTACCTCATTCTTCTGTCAAGCCTCCCTCTTGAAGCACATCCCTCCTAATTAATTACTGGATTAACCAGCCTAGTATTGAGACTGCCCATGGCTGGAGGTGGATCTTGGAGCACGGACTTGTTCTCAGTATGCACAGCCTGGCACATTGCTGCCTGGCCAGATGGGTCCCCCATCTGCTTCGATTTGAAGGAGAACTTCCTGGAATTAGGGTTTTCCTCTTAACCTTTGTTTGTATAATTCCTTTGCTTCTTATTTTCACTGTTTTTTCCTTTACACCAAAAGCATCTGAAGTATGTCAGAGTCAGATTTAAATGCCAAAGGGAAAACTGCACAATTTTTGTGCACGCGTGGCATTAATTGTCACGGTTCTGCATTAAGGCTGCTAAACTGGAGCTGTATTAGTACAGCAAGGAACTCCTTTTGGGTAGAGAAGTCATCAGAAAGAAGTCAGCAGAAATCATTTCTAATGTATAGGCTCCAGAGAACCTAGTAGACTGCCATATAGTCAAAGGTAGCTTTCTGATGTTTGCTCAAGCTATTAGAGCATGCTATATTTTTCAGGATAGAATTTATAGGTCAAGAGAAGCAGTTCATCTTTCTCAGACTAGTAAGAAATCAAGATGGAAAGCAGAGATCTGATACCTAATTCTTTGAAAATCTGCTACAGTTCTATATTTATTATAAGCCTATCACAGTACATCCTGCTCAAAGACTTACAGGAAAATGTGTTGCTAACTACCAGGGAATTATTGATTTTTTAATTTTTGCCCTCATAGTGCTATTGCCTGGCTGTGGTAGAACCGCTAACTTGAAGAAAAAAAGAAAAAAAATCAATATTACTATTATCAACTGTTGACTACAGTTTACAGCAGCAATAATCTCCTTTAAAATAGCTTGCAGAAGTACCAGTTGTCATCTAAGTAAGGCATTACTGCCTTGGTCGAATCATTAAATGCTAGTAGTATTTGATCTTTTGACAATTTCTTTTTGGTTAAGTTTTGGTGACCATTAGTATTTTCTGAACTTCACACCTGAACCATATTTGGCTGAGAACCGGCCTGTTTGCTGCTGCCATTATTGTTGTGTTACTGACAGGAGTGACTCATTTACCCCGTTAACATAAGTGGGTTAACATCCAGTGCTGTTCTGTATGCTAGATTTTAGTGCACTAAAAGTAATGTGCCTCCCATCATCAAGATCTGCGCTTCCTTCAGTTCTGCACAAACCACAGGTAGCGCTTGAAGGCACTGGAATCCAAAACAACTAAGCTTCAGACAGCTTTAAGCACTGTTCCTGGAGATGTTTTGTTTAAGGGAACATACAAGTCATCTTTGTAATAGAAGGCAAAGCATCAATCTCTTTGTTGATGTGGTAAGCTGTTATTAAATACTTATAAAACAAGTAAATAATGACAAATATTTAATGTTGCATCCCAGAACATGCTTTATGTATCTTTTTCTCCAAACTCTGGGAAAAGTGCTGACCAGAGAAGTGGCCACACGTTGGAGATCTCATGAGTGGAACTAATTAGATGTAGATGGAGCTGTCATGCTTGCCCTTCCCCTGCTTATACCAAAAGGATACCCTGCTTGCCAATCTAACCACTTGGCTTATGCTATTTTTACCCCTACAGCCTTTTCTGTTATTAGCTTAAAGCCTATCATTTGTTACACCTGGAATTGCATCTGCTAAATTTAAGGGTATAAGAAGCATGCTGAGGGTCCACCCACACAGAGCCTATCATTGATACTGAAAATATTTAAAAATCTAAGTTAGCATTAAAATTAATTGTAAATGCATTGTGGTTCCAAGAAGACAGGCCACATAAATTCCACTCATGTTTCTGAAGGTAGGGGGTCAACAAGAAGTTTTAGTGTGGCACTTTTACTTATGTTATGCTCAAGCTAAAGGCAATATAGCATATTACAACATGAACTTTTTTTAAAAGTGTTTCCATAACAGTACACAAAACCCTAATGAAACTGCATTTATAAATATAACCTCAATAAAAATTTTAATAATGCTTGTTGTCACAGTTGTCAAGAGAGAAAATGATAGTTCATATTACATTCGAGGCATACAGAGTGACTGTTGAGATGTGTAGCAGTATATACTGGATTCATCTTAGTCATAGTTTATTAGTGGCTTTTTAATGATTTAAGAATTTGAGATCTAAACTTGCCCATCTCTCTTATCTTTTAAAGGAGCATTTTTCTGAACCCAGCCTATTTCCGGAATCACCTGCGTCAAGCTGCCGTGTTTAGGTGTTTAGAGAGATACTCTGAAGCTGCAAGGTACTCTGGCACTTGTGGATTTATAATGGTTTCTCCACATCTCTTTCATTCCAGCTCTCAGTAGTAAGGTTATCATCATATACCCAGGCTTTTAAAAGTCAGTGGGAGCTTTGTGTATATGATCTCACATGCAGCAGAGCTCCAATCCTCCCAGTCAGAGTAACATGAATAATCCCAATTATGTCCCTGGTTGAGGTTAGACTAACACATATAGAGGTACTTACTCTCAGGTGTAGTGGTGAGCCCTGGTCAGGTCCCTGGGCTACACTGGGGCAAGAGCTACATGCACACAAGCATCTTCTACTTCCTGCTTTCCCTGTACCTTGGGCAGAAGCTCAAGTGTGTTCTGAGCAGATTTAAAAAAAAAAAAAAAAAAAAAATCAAGATCTCAATGTACACTGTGATATGCTGCAAAATTTAGCCTGGGTGCAGCTGATGAGACTGCTGGTGTGAACAGAAACTGCTGGCAGGAGAAAATTCTGCAAGAGGAAGCTCTGCTTGCATGCGTGCATTACACTGCCAAAAACTGAAAGTTCCAACACGCAACAGAAGTTTTTAAACCACTGAACATGCTTAAATGAAAGAAATGCACAGGGAAATGCAATGGCAGCTTGCTATGTATCATCATTACTGCTAACATTAGATACTTACAGAGGACTGTTCAGCTGAAGACCACAAGGTATAGCACAAAAATATTTTGCAAATCATTAGCTAACTAATGGCAGAACAGTCATCGCAAATTAGGCAAGAGACTAAAAGGGTTACATTGCTTATCATTTAAGATACATGCTAGTGGTAGAACTCTGAAGCTATTAAAATAGCAGGAAAACAGTTTGAATGAGAAGTGGAAAGACACTTTATCAAAGCAGAGTTGCAGAAAGGATTTGGGAAGATGAACACCAATTTTCTGTGCTGGACTCCAGCCAAAAAAAAAAGGCAAACAAAAAAACAGGGACAAACAGTTTCCTTCTGTGGGACAGCATCAAGAGTGTATCAAAGTGAAATGCACTGGATTTCACATGCCAGGAAGAGAAGAAATCAGTTCTCCAAGACAATTAAATTTTTGCTAATTTCTTTGGAAATACTAACTCAGATTAACCTGGAATATTTCACTTACTGTATTTTTTTAGGAAAAAAAAAAAAAAGGAAAGAAGAAAAAAGCCTCACTTCTCAAACAAACATCTTTCAAACTAAGGAATAGAAACATTTTGTTCAAAAACACTCTAGCATTATGATATTTCCCAGGTCTCCTTTTATATAGCACTGATCAGGGTCTCTTCTTCCCAAAAAAACTTGTTGTGGTGTTGATTCAGAGAGAAATTGTTACCTACAGTCATCAGCAGCTGAGGTCCACTGATCAGACAGACATTTTAGGGTGGTGTTAGTCCAGTATGTTGTTTTGTGACAGATAGGGAGGGAATCCTGTTCAGGATGCTGTCAAACCCAGAAGTTCACTAGTATCCTGACAGGTGAAATACAAGAAGATTTTGTTTTGTTTGTATGTTGGTTGGTGTTTGTTTTCCCCTTGAAGTCAGGTTGATGATTTAAAAAAAAAAAGTTAAAAAAACACATTTTCAGAAACTGGTATTTCAGAAGAAATACCTTAAAATGCCTATATTTAAGAAGACAGTATGAACCAAGGCGTTCATAAATATGATTTCAAAAATGAAGAAAATTGTGGATGGTGTTACTGCAGATAAGCAATCAGTAAGTTTACTACATCAGCAGGCAAGAGGGATCTGTGTCAGCCTTTTTTTCCCCATATTGAGATGCTTTCAGGAAACTAGATGATTTTAAATGAGATTATGTATTCTGTAAAGGAGAGGAACATTCTGACAGACTGAATCCAGAGCGGTTCCAAAAAGCAGCGACTATAGCAGCATTCAGAGTTTAGCCTAGTTTAACATAGTGTTATAGCAACTGTGCGGAGCTGCTTTTGCAGGTTGTGTTAAACTAAGCTTAGCACCACTTATGGCATCTCATTGGAGTCACTGGTCTTAGTCAAACCCCATTAGAGATGCAGCATGCACTCCACCCATTACAGGCTGCAGCAAGCAGACATTTGGTTGCATTTTCTGGAAATATGAACTTGGTTTTTATCATCATAACCTGTCATTTATTTCTGCTTGCTATTTGAGTACTCCTTGCTTTTCTATCCCCAGCATGTGTTTAAATCACTGTATACCCTGTTAAATACACCCAGAACACCGTATGGGTATGTGAACAGGAGGGGTTGGTTGTAAACAGTACTGCTTGGCACAAACAGCACAGATAATGACATTTAACTCAGCCTACCTATCAAGCTGAGATCCCCTAAGATTTCATCTCTGAGGATATACCAGACCAAATTATTTGGTTCAGAGAAAGTCAAAAGCTAGAGTAAGGTCAACTGTAATTTAAGCATCTCCCAAGTTTCTCTGTGTGTAACTTTCACTAGTGCTTGTCAGCCCACAGAAAGCACATGAAGGAGTTTGAATGCAAGGACATATGAGTTAGTATAAGGCAACTGATATGCCCACATCTGCATCACTCCTGAATTTTGTTGACTGCATAGCGATCCTTCAGGGTAGTACTGTAATAGGGTGCTACCACGTAGAGTGCAGCCTAAGGCCATTTGGCATCGTAAAGCAGTCTTAGAAGCACCATGTGGGGTCAGAGCATCTGCAAATGATGAATTCTGAAGTGGTGCAGCCACTTTCACTGAGGTGTCAGCTAGTAAATATATTTATCCTCTATTGTTCAGAGACTGCTCTTGACAAGCACAGTAAAGATTTAAACCTCAGAAGGGAGCAAACCTATTTCAGCTGAAAGACCATCTTGGCCTTTGAACAAATGGGCATAAATTCATTATACATAAATTTAGTCTGGAAGTTACCTAGAAGTTTTAGACATTACAAGGCATTTAGGCTCAGGATCGTCCTCGATAGCAGCTACCGAAAGTACCCTGGCAAGGGAGACAGAGTCACAGCTGATCAGAAAACCACTTAATAACCAGAATGGAAAGTTCAGAAAAGGGTTCTGGGCTCACTTCTCTAACGAAGAAGAGAAAAGGCTCTTGGAGAAGGCTGAGGGGGCCCTGCCTTCCTGGGGATGTGGAGTCAGCTTCCTTAGGGAGAGATGAGACAAAGGATGTGTATGTGCAAGGGGACATGCAAGCCACAGAACAGCCTGGGAAGTCCATACTAGTCCCAAGGACAGAGGAGCCAAACCACAGGATGCTTTCAAGGGTTACAGTGCTAGAAAGGGGACAAACACCCTAGGGTGACCCTCAAAACTCCTGGAGAAGGAGGCATCGGAGCCTGCATGTTCTCCGAGTCCCCAAGCCTGGCGGGCTGTGACCCCACAGCTGCCTGTCACACATCTGCAGTGAGAGGTCTGACCAGATGAGCAACAAGGCATGAAAGCAATTTTTCTTTCTCACTCAGATAGTGCAGCCTATTGCTGACACTGAAACAGTGGTAAGGTGAAGATTCGTAACTTACAGAAAAAGCTGGCTGCCTATTTGCTTTGCATCTGAAGTTTAAACTACAGAAGGGATTTTGCCCCTTTTTATCATTAAGCCGTATAGCTCTCATCTTTCTGCTAATCAAATCGCTGTGCTGATTTAACAGTGTCACTGTGTTCTGTGAAAAGCTTAAGATAGCTCTTTTATCACCAGCTAGAACACTAGTGACTTGAAATTAGTTGTATACATGTAAGGGAAAACAGACTGTCTGTCCCTCTGCCAGAACAAACAACTCATCTTCATCTGACTGCACAGAGTAGGGGTAAGCAATCCTTAAGGAGGAAGGAGCTTTAGGATTTGAATAGCTGCAGCATGGCTGACTCAGCTTTTTGACATTCCTATTCAAGAAAGCCTAGGTAATCCCACCAGCTGTAAAGCGAACCAGGTCTGCCAGGAGCAGACCTCAGCCCTCTGTGTGAATCCAGGGGCTGTTTCAGTCAGAATGGAGAAGGCAGCAGGTAAAGCTGCACAGTTCGGGTTAGTTGGTATATTCAGCTTCTCTTCACAAAAGCTGCACAGTTCGGGTTAGTTGATATATTCAGGTTCTCTTCACAGAGCCAGTGGTGGCACAAAGGCCCACCCCATGCGAGCTGATGTGAGCAGGCCCACCTCTCAACTCTGCCTGGGCCCGCTCTTGGAAGAAGAGGAGAAAGTTCATATTCCTTCCCCATCCTAATTGTTTCTACTTTTCCTCAATGGAAATAAACAAAAGGGAAATTCTGTAAAAAGAAAAAAACATTGGTTGTCATAGAAACACCAGCACGGAGGGGACTCTCACTGCCGGGGCGCGTGGGCTCAGCACAGGCCCCAGCAATGGCGGGTGCCCCACATGTGGCTGTGTAGGGTCAGGCAGCAGCGAACCCCCCACGGCCACCCTCAGCAGCTCTGTTGAGGAGAAGGGAACCTCCACTGCTGGCCAGGGCATTGCACAGGCAGTGCCCCTGGGCCAGGGGTCAGCAGGGAATTGGGTCCGGTTGTCCCCACACCGAGCCACCCGAGCTGTCCCATGGGATTCGTGGCTGGCCGTGTCCCCAGGGTGACATTTCAAATGGCACACCTCATAAATTGTGTCTAGGAAAGCGGCTTTGACAAGCGCTGGGATCAGTCAAAGCCCAAAGGAAAGCCCACACTGCCTATTATTTAATTTGACACCAACATATGAGGTTAGCCTCTGTCTAGAATTACTGGCCGTTATTTCTGCACCGCGCACATTATTCTTTATCACTTGAGACTGTCCAGGTGTCAAACAACAGTGTGCTCAGGCAGGCAGTCATATCAGGGACAGGAGGAAGCCTCCACACCAGTTTTTCCACGATCACTGCCGCCTGTTAGAAGTAAATACAAACACTGACAACAGCTCAAGGCACATCCCCAAACCAGGGAGCATGAGGTGCAAAGAGATACACGAGAGCAGAGCACCAGCTGGAGCACGGAACAAGCACAGTCCTTGTCCCTCAAACTTTCATTGTACTTCTGCCATTAAGCAATTCATCCC